TTTCTCTTTTCCAGCCACAGCTTTTTGAGTTTAGGAGTAAACCAGGGTTTGTCATTGTTATAACTCACCCTGGTGCGTGATGGCACAATGCTGTCCTCACAGAAGTGGATATAGGAGGTGACAGTGTCCGTACCATGGTCATGACAGTGTCATGACCATTGATCAACAACCAGTGATCAAAGCCCACTGATCAATGGCCATGAGTACCATAGTCAGCAGTTATCGCCTGGATCTTTCTTTAGGCGTCTTCCCAGCTGGACATTTGTCAAAGCTGGGAAGCTTTGACAAATGTCATTTAATCAGAGCCTTTTTCCCACTTTGGCACGGACTGCCTAAAGCTTGTTCGTCAGTATGAGCAAACAGCACGTAAGATGGCGGATTACAGGAACCACCTGAGATTCAGCCTCAGATGCAGACAAAACAGGATTACTCCTAAAAGTCTGCAAATTAGCTTTTCAGTTAAAGGCTTCCAGGCAACAAAAATCCTCCAGAAGGCACCGCACCAGCTGCTTAATGAATGGGTGAGGCAGACAAATTTTACCATCGACGTGCTAAAATCTCAAGAGGAGCGGATCCGACAGAGACTGACAATGCTTTTAGATGAGAGCAGACCAGGCAACAAATGAAGTTTGACTTACTAGTTGTACATCGGAAACCACAGCGAAATACGGAGAGTGTACTCAATGGCCAGAAGAGGGAACGATGCAACACCGAAGATGTAGACAAGTGGGTGAAAAATTTGTCTGACAGACAGCTCACCCAAACAGAGAAAACATCCTTGCTAAAGGGTTGCATTTTGCTGTCATGGTGAGACAAATCCCGCTAGTGGAGCTGATCACAGCCACAGAAACAGCAATTCGAAACAACAATATAAAAACAACAAAACAACACTCTCAGCATCGACCAAGTGTGTTTGAACTGTGTGTGAATTCCACCTACTTCACATACAAGGGTCAGTACTACAGGCAGAAACATGGGTGCCATGGGCTCCCAGTTTCACCCATCGTGGCCAATTTGTACATGGAAGAAGTGGAAAAGAGGGCTTTGCTATCCTGCCCTGGAACACCACCAAGCCATTGGTTCAGGTATGTGGATGACACCTGGGTGAAAATCAAATCTCAGGATGTACCACAATTCACGGATCACATTAACTCGGTGGACCGACACATCAAATTCACCAGGGAGGATATGAACAGTGGCAGGTTAGCCTTCTTAGACTGTGAGATTTCCATCAGTAATGGAGGACATCTAAAAGCTGACGTGTACCGTAAACCTGCACATACGGATCAGTATCTAAGGTTTGACTCTCATCATCCACTGGAGCACAAACTGGGCGTCATCAGGACGCTATAACACAGAACGAACACCATCCCCACTGACACAGCAGCCAGGGAGGCAGAAGAACATCAGGAAGGCCCTGAGTAAATGTGGTTACCCCAGCTGGACTTTTGTCAGAACTGGAAAGGCTCCTAAAGAAACCTCCAGCTGATCCAGGAGAGAAGGACAACCAATGACTAAGCGAAAACCTGTAGTGATCCCGTACGTGTCAGGAGTATCGGAACAGCTGAGACGCATTTTCTCTAAACACCACGTATCTGTGACCTTTAAAGCCCAAAACATGTTGCGGCAAAAACTGATCCACCCCAAGGATCGGGTCCCCCGACACAAACAGAGTAACATAGTGTACGCTGTTAAGTGCAGGAGGATTGGCAGGATTTATACATCGGGGAAACCAAACAACCAAAGAGGACGGCACAACACAGAAGAGCCACCTCGTCAGGCCAGGACTCTGCAGTCTATTTACACCTACAGGCCAGTGGACACTCTTTCAATGATGAGGATGTAACATCCTGGACAGGGAGGAATGCTGGTTTGAGGGCGGAGTCAAGGAGGCCATTTACATGAAAAGGGAAAGACCATCTCTGAATGGAGGAGGGGGCCTAAGGGTACATCTGTCACCATCTTACATGCTGTGATTGCAGCCATTCCCCAACTCTCTGTGAATGGGACTCATGGCCATTGATCAGTGGTTGTTGATCAATAGTCATGAGAATTTGCATAATCATGATGAAGGAACTGACCTCCCAGCCCATTGTTCCTTCAGTGGGCTGGTTTCAGTCATTATGTAAATGTCCTGTTTATAAGATTGAAACCTGCAGTCAGCTGAGACTGAAGACGTCACCTGGATGATGACGAAACTTTTCTCCCAATAAACGCTACGCCCAGATGAACAGAATCAACTTTTGGAGATTTACTTACCTGGATGATTGAGCATGCATCAAGACATAATGACTGAATGCAAAGTGGTGTATAAACAGGGAGTGAAAAGGAAATGTTCATAGCATCATGGAGAGCCTTAGCAGTAGCCTGAGCCTATTGCTGCATATTTAAGAGAGAGGCTGGATCAAGTGACCC